TTTTATTGACTAGAGCCCAACAAACAATATGCCGTTAAAAACAAGCTTCCACAGGAAGCACTTGAGTGGCCCTTTAAAAGAGCCAGAACTCCTACTTTCGCTAATCGTTCATTCCCTCAACTCGGAGCCAGAACAAGTGGCCACGTTGACGGGGGCCTATCCGATGCCGCCAACGTTTATCATACCCACGCGGTGGGGCTGGCTAAGCAGAAAACGGGTGTTGAGCTTCATGCATTGCTAAAGTTTGGGTATTCTCAGCACCGCAGTGGTTGGACATGAGCCACTATATCCGAGTGTCCGCCGAGGCATTGATCCTTACGAGCCGAGGTCTTGAGCTCACGCAGTTCTTGTGTCTAGTTCATGAGCTGCGCTCGACTGTCGTCACGTGGGTAGCTACGATCCCACAATTCCGTCGTCAAACTTTGCGAAGGCGAGATTGAAAGAAAGAGTCCCCATTTATCCTCGCAATTTCAACGCGAGCAAGAAGCTTCGGATGCGGTGGAGGTCTGTGCGAGTATGCTTGGGTCAAACTAGGAGGAGTAAGCCTGGTTATGAACATTCCAACACGATATAGGTTCATGACCCCTTTAAGTATAATAAATCAGTAAAATGAAAAGAGGGTGATGATTTTTCATGCCATTTCTATCAAATGAGCGTTTTCTTTACTATTTACATGCCTTTGGAAAACACGGCTGACGTAGCACAAGGTTGTACATATTGTTAAACAAGGCAATATAAAGTCAGTTTCCCTTGTTTAATGTTTACGATATCTGCATTGCAACTGTAACTGTAGAGAAAATCGGTTATCGTTGAAAAAGGCTTTACAGTCATCATTTGGGTAAAATTATAGTCTTACAACCTCTGGGCCTGTTTGTGATAGAACCGCTACGTTAAGTACAAGCCCCAACGAATACAAAATACCAATTAAAACCCTCTGATAGTGTAAATGCATGGCGCACACAAAAACACTAGTTTTTTTTTTTTTTTTTTTTTTTTTTTTAAGGCAGGCCAGAACGTTTTAGACGCCGAAAGTAAATGCGTTTATATTAGTTGTTAACTTTTGCATGCCTGATATTTGCGTTTAGGCGTTTTCGCAGTGACTTGAATGTTGCACGTTTGACCAAGTTTCCTGATTTTAATAATTATTTTGATATGACAGCTTTGGCAGGCATTTATTTTAAGTGGTCCTTTAAAACCCCACACTATAAAAATAATCCGTTCTTGAAAGGTTTTTCGACGCCCCAAGAACTCTTTCAACTCGTGAAGAACGGTTTCGTCTCAAATACCATCGTCCCCTGACACAATACATGAGCAACTGGGTGGTGAAGAACTATTTTGCATAAAAAAGGAGCAGAAAAGTACCCCTTCTATAGTCCGTTGCAACCTAAGAACGAAGTGCGAGGGTAAGACGGGCCTGGGAGGAGGAAGCAGGCGGAACGCTAAAGAGAGGAGGAGGTTCCCCCTCTCTTCTCCAGCGTTCCGTCTGCTTCCTCCTCCCCGGCCTGTCTCACCCTCGCCCTTCGTTCTTAGGTTGCAACGGACTATAGGCTTTTTTTTTACTAAGAACCCTTTTAGGGGGTGCTTGAAGTAACGTTTTAAGGTGCAACATATGGACAAGCCTGAGAACCCCTGAAAGTTCTTTTACTAACGGATTTCTTTAGAGTGTAGGCTTGTGCGCTTGTTTGATGCTTAAAAATGTTTAATGAAAATAAAATATAAAAGCTTTTAAAATATAAAAGGTAAAAAAAAAAATTCCGAGGACACCTAAGCAATTTTTTTTAAAGTTGTAAATACAAAAGCATGAATGTCGTTCTTCCACTCCCGTAGTGCGTCTGCGGTGTACCGGCGTGATCGACCACGTTTCGCTCCTGCCGAGGTTGCGGCCGCCGACGATATAGATGCCTTAGGCACCGCCATGTTCCTCGGCGCCGAGAGAAGCAGAAGCGGCCGCAGCCCCCTAACCACCCCCCTCCCTCCGGCAACGGCTGACACGAGAGCGGCGTCCGAGCACGCGCTCTCGTGAAGCGGCCGCCAATGGCTATTTAGGAGCCGTTTCGCTCAGCCAATGGGAGAACAGGCATTTCTTTCGCGTTCTTTCGCGGTTACGGACGCCGCCGGCTCCGCTCTATGGGACAGATAATGCTTTCGCATGAAAAGGTGTGCATGTCTATCGCAGTCTTTTCCCTTAATGGTTCCCCTAGGTGATTTTTATTTTTGAGCTGTCTTTATAACGATTGGAATTGACCATGCTAAAACAGTGTAACGTGTTTACCCGAAAACAAGACCAAGGAATGAACGAAAATTCGAAAATGCAAAAATTGTTAAATGCTAGGGTTTTTTTTTGTTTTTTTGTTTTGTTTTATAAACAAGCTACACGTGGTATCTCACTCATTGAAATTGCACTAAGATTTTTGTACGGCCAATACACATGCGTGGTTCGTATATTTAGCAACAAAGTCCAACTATTTTCACATGTTCAGAATTATGTTCAATTTGCTGTTTTCCTTTTCAGACATGCGTACCAGTCTTTACAAAAAGTAAAAAAAAAAAAAAATTATCTTGTTCTCTTGCGTTTCGGTTTTTTTTTAAAGTTTGGCCGCTTTTATGGGATTATGAGGTATTTTTTGGCGGGAGTTCGTGTTCTCCTAAACTGGAGAGAGGTACTCGCTTCCGCTAATCAGAAAAACAGCTTCCAAAAATATTCCCGCTCCTTTCATTTTCATTTTGCAAGCGGAAGTCAATCCCTGTGATTCATGGAAAAGGAGCGGTGAACTGGAATCCGCAGCTGGCGCGTGGACCCAAAACAGCAGTAGGAGCAGGTTGAGTGGACATGGTGTTTACGTGCTCACTAACTTATACCCTCCCTCGGTCAAAAGCAATATGCTAAAATATACTAACTTAGTATTCTAAAGAAACATACTTTGTAAAGCATATATATGAGGTGTCTTAGACTCCTATATTTAAACGGATTTTAAATGCGCAAAGCTTAGGTGCGAGGCAGCGCACCGTGAAAACATAGACTGCAGTAAGAGTATATGAAACAATATATCAAATTTTGAAAGTATGTATGTAAGGGGTATTCACTGGGACGCCGTATTGGAGCTCGTCGTTCTTCGCAGCGGATGCTCAGAACATATTTCTTTTTATTCTCTGCCAACGGCTGATGCAGCCTTCCAGTTCGTCTGCTCTTTGCGTACCTCTTGCGTTTGTTTACACGCCAAATGCGTGCACGTGCCTTTGTGTCCTTGACCTTCGACAAATCACGGCGCGCCGCATTTCAAGTCGCTCTCTGATTGGCGTGCCCCTCCCCGAGATCCGAGGCGTCCGAGGATTAGAGATCTGTAATTTTCTACCCTACAATTTTCGCTGTTCCACCCTGCTAACCCTGCTGCTGAAAGGGGTCTGCTTCCGTGGCCCAATGATGTATTGCCGTGTCCCGAATCGCACGTCAGCATTGGGAAGACTTCTGGCTTGTTTTTCTACCAGCTCCTCAGCGATGAATTCATAAGCACCGCGTGAAAAAATCAGATATCAAGAAAGAACCTTGTTGTCAACAACTACCCATCTACGGTGTATGCGCAAGGTCCTCATAAACCTGTTTCGAAATACTGCGCTCTGTTGCAGCTGTGGAACCCCTCTAAAATGGCGGTCTAAAAACGGAACGCCACGGCACAATATATGCTCTTCGTTTGGTTGGAGCAGAAGAAAAACACACCACAGAAAAACTGATGAGCGCAGTGACGCTGCACTTTCGACTCTCTTTGATTAACTCGTAGGCTCCCAGCGTTGGCCGCTTTCCAAAGTTCGCTATTTTATGAAATGACTTGCACGTTCCACGATGTCAGACGTTCCGCCATTATGCAGTGGTTCTGACCTTTTATTAATTGGCATGCGAATCTTGAAAGGCGTCTATTTCCTTAGTGTAGACTTTTAGCAGAGAATTGCTTTGATGGCTATGAAGTGGATAAACGAGAAAATGCCCATACCTTGCGATTTTTGTGTTGTGGTATTATCTGGGGGAAGTCAGCATTCTGGAATTCGACCAGCGCTGTAATTATGCTTTTTTCTAGTGATTCTCGGAATTCAAACTCAGAATTAACGTTCACCGCCAGTCACCAAGAGTCTAGCAACACCTTACGCGCATGTCGCATTTCCAGCACAACCTAAGGAATTGGGCATAGCAGGTTCCGCGAGAGTTTCCAATCGATTTACGCGTTCGCTTGTTTGTCCACTTTTCAGCTTGCTTAACTTTCTTTGGCATTTCCAAAGCGGAGAAGAGAGCACGCGTGCACAGTTTTGATCAGCACTCAAGAGCGCGATCTTGTATGCCTTTGATTGCATGCATAACTGCAGAAAGTTGTCCCCGAGTTTAGCAGTAACACATCCTACGGCCGTGGTGTGGCGCAGCCCCCCGCCGCCCAGTAGCGCTTAGTACATGAAGGGGCTTTAAAGACTGGCGACCAGTTCGCTTCCACTTTTCCCCTCTTCCTCCTCTTCCCCCTCTACTCTGCCCACCGTTGCTTGTTTCCTCCTCTCCCATGGTGAGCAGGATCTTCTGCCTTGCAGACTCTCGGGCCTGGTCGTCAGCGTTTAACTATGTTCGAGCGCCGCTTTGGAAACATAAGTGTTACCATGCCTCACTTGAGAGCCCGTAAGACAGCGAGCGCGTATCCAGTCCGGCCGCGGTGAGACGGAGCATGTTCTTCGGCGCCCCACTAGATGGCGCTGTGCATTTAGCTTATGGTCTATTAAATTGCAGACGAGAATGCCGCATCCTCCCATGCATTAAAAAAAAAAAAGAAACAAAAAGAGAGTCAAGCAGAAGCGTGTTCCGCGCCAAACGGTACAGGGCTGAGCGGCAATGACAGGTGCTATGACAGCCTGGATCCACATGTTCTGCCAAGGTTTCCGGCTTCTCTTCATGAACGAAGCCAGACGAATAATGAAGGTGCGCATGATGCGGCTCATTCCGCCCGAAACACATAAAGAGGACGCACAGGATGCAGCTACGCTGGGCTCTCGTTGCAGTGGCCCTCGCTCTGTCATTTTGGCGATTCCGGAGAACCCCAAAGCAACCTCACATTGTGTTCATCCTGGCCGATGACCTGGTAAGAGGACGTCACTTGACTTTCTTCTTTTTTAGGGATTTATTTCGGCCACAAAATAAAAAGGATGGCTCTTTTTTTCGGGGGGGGGGGGGGGGGGCCTTCAATGAGCTGGGTAAAATAAACAAACGTAATTAAAACTGGTTTAGTGTACACGAAATCTAGGTACATACTCTTACTCGCGGGGACAACGTTCTGCGGCTATGAGGGCAAAGCTATGGGCAGCCAGTTGCTTGCGCACCTTCAGTGCCGATTCGAGCTGTGCACGTGCACTCCTCGCTCCTACCGAAATGCCACACAGAACGTTGTCCAGGGGTGTCCCCCGGGAAGCTGAGACTGAGAAAGAGACGAGGACGCTCGGGGACGTGAGAACGCCGAGCTGTGGCCGAAGTGATCAGTGGGCAGAAGACGTAAAGCTCGATGCCCCTGTCTCTAGTGACCCTTTGAACGCGTACGCGGAACGCTGGACGCCGGCGTTTGGCAATTGACCGCGTTCGAGCTGTGAGCATAGACAAATGAAGCTAGCGTTCCGTCTACCCTCTAATCATTCCAACTAGAGCTCGGCGTTCTGATGTACCCACAAGCTCTCGTCTCCTTCTCTCCCTTGGTTTCTTGTCGCATAGCTACTTCTCCGTGTAAGTCACTGCGCCAATTTGGGCACTTTGCATGGTGCGGAACGAGCTTGTGAATGCCCTCTTCAAAGAAGGTTGCAGCTTAGGATTGCAGTCATTTCATTGAGCGTCGACAAGACCCTCGGTCACCGCAGACGTGTAATGCGTGGAGAGGAGGCTGCATGAAGTTTTGGGGAGGATTAACCGGCAGGCCATGTTGATAGGAATCGGGGGAGAACGGCTGTGGCACCAGACTTTCTTGTTGACGGTGTGATGAGATGACTGAGAACCCCGGCGGTAACGTTTTCTAAGGACAGCATTAAAAGGCTTGCACCACGTCACGATATGTGCCCGAATTCTCGCACCTTTTACCCGAAGAAATAGCCGCAATGTGTGTCTAAAGATGTGTCTACGATTTTATTTTTATCACCCTTCTTTTTCTGGTCCCCTCATCTGAGGTTAAAAGGGAAACAGCAAATAGCCCTCGTACATTCTTAATATGCCCCGAATACTGGTTTAAACAAACACAGTGCAGTCGAAATTACATTAGACGGTACAAACATACAACCTCTAATTCTGCGTAAACAATAAATAAATATGCCGCATTTATTTTGTATGTTAACGTAAATTATTTTCATCATTTGCCTAAAAATAATTTAGTAATTATTTAATCAACCTGCAATTGTTATCAACAATTTTCTTTTGCTGTCGCCAAGGAAAACACTCAATTCCCGTCCCGCACAGGTGTCTCCGTTGACTTCGGACGTCACTGCCGCACCAGTTCTAGTTCGTAATTTAAACGATGGCATTATGTGGTTGCTTCGTCTAATGGAGGCCTTTTGTTTTCGCCCTAAAGAAACGAAACTCGGGGATACCGCTTTAAGGCGTTAGCGTTAGTGCCCTGGTTCATGCGCTGGTTTAGACTAACGGAAGTTTGCAACGTCGCCACGGGATGGCGCCACAGCCGGAGCATCTGTAGAAACTGGCCATTAAACACATTCTGCAAGCGCCGACAGATGGCGGGCGGGGTGTTTCATTTCAACGTTAACGTTAGAGGACACGGCCAGTGGCTAGGGCACATGCAGTCTCAGTACAGAAAGACTCTGTGCATGGACACAAACGAACTAACGAGGCCACGTCGCGCAACGGCAGCACTATAGATTTGATCTCCAGTCTTCATGTACATGACATTCAAACGGCGGCATATGTGGCGTACTTTACGCTGAACAGACCGCTCATGTGCATGATGCAACCGCCGGAAGGAATAAACGCACGTTCGCGGTTGATACTTGTTACAAGCTGCAGATGAGGCCGTGGATGACATTTTTTTTAGTTGTGTTCAAATGTCGTTTTATTAAAGTTGTTTATTACGCGATACCGAAAGTTGTTGAACTGAGGTTCAAAAAGTTTCGGTGTCACGCTAATAAGAGTGCGGCATTAGCTGTTACATACCTATTTCAATTATGAATGCAGGGGGTAATCCGCCCATCAAATGTAGTATTGTCGCGGATGGAAGAAGATTGACGAGCGTAAAACAAAAAAATAAAGATTTAATTGGCGAACTTGTTTACAAAAGAAAAAAACGAGCGCTAAGAGAGCCGCAGCGAGCGTCGAAGGCGGCAGCAGCGAGCGTGGAGGTGTCGGCGTGACAGCTATAGGGGCAGTGACAGCTGGCTAGCGTGAGGGTGAGGGAGTGAGTCGGCAAAGCTGCGTTGAGCGCCTTATCTACTCACTTACTCACTCGGGATCTCGAACATTCAGTCTGGAATGTTCGAGTGCCGAACACTTGGGAGACTTACTCGGCAAGGTCATGTTGGGCTCCTTGTTTGTTACCCTCAGGGTAAGAGTAAAAACGAATATTCTAGAGGTATACGGAAAAGCGTTCCATCTTTGTCATGCACGGGGAAAAAAGGAGATCGTTTCTGAACGGTAAACACAGTTCTCAAGCGTCTCTTTATGTCAATATACACATCGTGTTTATATCGATAGAGAAAGAAATAAAGAAAAACATTTGAATTGCAGTGAGGCTACAACAAAACACTTGCTTCGTCGCAAAAGGCCTGTCTGCGCAGGGGCGGATCTAGACCTCCATTTTAGGGGGGGGGGGGGGGGGTGGTTCCTCGGTGTAAAACGGCGGGGGGGGGGGGGGGGAGTGTTTATATTTTTTGTGGAGTTATCGTTTTCACTAAACTTTGATAACATAATATAGATCTTGAGACCTTTTGTATCGGTTCACCTGTCGGGGGTGAACTCTTTGAATTAAAACCTTTCCGGTGACCACGCTAGAGGTAGCTATTCAGAAAATTGTGGTGGCACTATCGTTTCTGAACACCGTAACGCAAGGAACGGGATTACTTCATTCGCGTGGCAGCGCGCTAGAAATAGAAAAAGAAGTTTAACTACTGGGGATGAATGTTTGGTGCTATAGCGGCTGTGACAATTGCAGACAGTGTAACTTGATGACTCAGATATCCCCGGCGGGCTACAACTTTTGGGCTACTTTTGCTTGAATATTTATATATTCTCGTTACACCCGCAGACCATGTACGGAGAGCCAACCTTTACCAACTGTACGGAGGAAGGTCATGCAGCTAATGACAATGCGAAAAACGTTTTAATCTAAAACTCGGCTGTTCTTTGAGATTAAGCTTGGCATAGAAGTTAGAACTTTATATTCAGTGCCAAAATGCAGAACGTGGTTTTAAAACATACTTTTCATTGTCGCCGGTTGCTTCAATGGAGCGAGTACGTTCCAAACAAGCGACAAAAATGGCCCTGCGGCTTTGACGCTGCTCGCGGCGTCAAAACACTGTTGACGCAGCGAGCGAAACGAACGCTGCCAGGCAAGTTCGTCGGCTGTTCGCCGTATATTTGGAATGTCGGCTTCTTTCTGTATTCCGCGCTGCGGCGCTGATCCTCAGTGAGGGATGGAGGCGAGGACGAAAGCGGGCTTATGTTTAAGCCAAGATCGTGGGAAAGTCCGGAGCGTCTTCAGGAGAAGCTCAGACCCAGACTACACTGTACCCAGAGCATTTGCTTCCTCTCTCAGTTGAGAAGAAAACCAATTGGTCACCTGGAGGCTCGTTGTACAAGCTGCCCCCCCCCCCCCCCCCCCCCCTGGAACGTCTCCTCCTGGTACGTCCCCTCCGCACTTCCCTTGGCAATGAGCACACCGTGCCAATAAGTGAGCCCGTGGGCGACAGCATCTCGAAGCAAGCCAAAAAAGACATGCCAAAAGACAAGCCCAGAACCACGAAGAAACCATCAAACGAAAAGTGATGAAAAGGCGGCCGCTAGGGAGGAAGGATAATCCGCCGTGTATAGTATCGTACCCTCGGGGAAGGCTGCTTGGCGTCTGCGTTTGGGAGCTTTCAGGGCACAAGTTTTTCGCAGACAACCTCCAAAGAGAGAGCGGGAGACAGAGAGAGAGAGAGAGAGAGAAAGGGGACTAGATATGTTGAAGGTATTTCCCCCCCGTGCTCGACGTGCTGGCCTTGTTTGGAAGTGTGCCTGCAGTCGAGGACCCTGATATTTGGTGCGCTTCCCCACTGTCTCTCCACTTCGAAACTCCTGGCGCCGTCCCTGTCGGGAAGACGTACCGTGACCTTGATGGAGATAAACCCCACTTTGGAAGCGCCCAGCAGGCGCATCCACCCACCGCTGTTTTAATCTTTTGTCCCTCGCGTCGATTGCTTACGTTTCTCCTTCGAGCTGACGAAGAACCCCGGGGGGGGGGGGGAAGGGGGGTTGCCTGGCGAGGCGTTGGGGGGGGGGGGGCGATCGCCCCCACCGCCCCCCCCCCCCCCTTGGATCCGCCACTGTGTCTGCGGAAACTGATTGACCCTCCTTGACTTGTTTATAACGTTTATAGCAATTCGTTTATAGTAAAGGAAGCTGCAACAAAATTACTTGTAAAGCTAATTAATTACAGGTTTCTAATGTTAGCTGGAATGCGTACCTAGTTTGAGGTTTCTTCTATTTTAAGCCTGAATGAGGCGCTTTGGCGCACATAAAATGGTTTATATGATCCTGCCTGGTAGGTAATATTATTTCTTTCTAAAGGGAAAACCCGAAATAGGTGTTCAATGTTTTAACAGCTCTTGGTCTACTTTTGAGGTTTTGCGACACTGGTTCAAGCTTAGAATGGTCAATTTATTTATTAAACACGAGTTCTAATTATTGACAAAAATATTATTGAAGAAAAAGGTGAGCTTGGGGAGTTTTGTGTCCATATAAAAACCGCGCATCCAATTGGTGGCTTTTGAAACGTCCCATTTATGTAAACATGCAGGAAGGGCCTCGCAGCTTGAACGCGCTGCGAACGCTAATAGATAAACTAGATGAACACGTAATGCTTAAAGTGGCAAAATATTGACTGTTTGAAGTTAATATCAACCCATTAGGACATGTTTCCATGGTCGTATAAATATTTTATTTTTCAACAAGCCCGAGGAATTTAATTATTTTGCGTGCCACTCAGACACATTACTTAATATTATAACTTGAAGGTGAAAATAGTTTATTACTATGCGACTAGACATGAGTAAGCCTGCTTATACTTCGCACCTCTCCAAATATGAGAAATAAAAAAAACAAAAAAACAGCGCTCGCCAAATATTTGTATACTTTAGTGTCAAGCGCGAGACCGTTCACATGGGCGACCGTTGACATAAAAGCGCCGAGTTCGAACTGATTAATGCTATCGACGAACACACTGTTTACAAACAAGGCCGCGTTTGCCCACACCAGGTGGGGGCACTGCGCGCCCGCAAAAACCAGATTCGTCGGAGGCAAGGCATCTGCGCATGCGCAGTGCCGACAGCAGCGCCACCGGAGTGCAGTGACGTCAGAGAGTCGGGTTTTGATTTCAGGGCGAGGAAAGGAAAGGCTGGGAGGAGCGAGCAGGCGGAATGGTGGAGAGAGGGGGATGTTTCCTTCTCTCCTCTGCTCCAGCAATCCATCTGTTTCCTCGTCCACAGCCTTTGCCTTTCCCTCGCCGTGAAGTCTTAACCGGTTACCGACTATAGCGGTTCCGAAACTGTGATCGGCGGACGGTTAGGGACGACAGGTCCAGATTGGTTCGTGAATCGCTCCACCGGGGACACGTAACGCAGTGAAAAAGATTGTAGCTGACAACACATATTTGCTCTTAGAACCCTCCCGGGAGCCTCTCGTCGTTTTCTTGCTGCGAGTACGTTTCAAGTTATCTCTAAAAAGCTAGTGTGAGTGCTCTTCTGCAAAGTTCTAGGGAGAGCCAATCACTGTAATCAACGGAGAAGACTCGGTGAATGACAAGCGAAAATATGTTTAGTCTATAGGGGTGCGCGAATATTGGTTCGAATTAGATAGAACTCTGTGAATCGTAACCTTCGCTGCGCAAAGCAAAGTCATGACAGCAGTTTGTTTTCCTTTTTAAATAATTAAAACTGGGAATGACATCGCGCTATTTGATTCGAACAACCATTCGCCCACCGCCTAAATTAAACTTAAAAAAAAAAAACATTTACGCTTTGGCAGTCAGTATGGTGTCATCAGGCTCAGTGTCAACGCAGACTCTTTTCAATGCATTAGCTATAGTGCCGTGGTACATGCGCTGACCTTGGACTACTTTGGACCACATGTGTCTAAAGTTCGCAACATCACCACGGGATGGCGCCACAACCCCACTGGCTATGGGAACTGGCTAGGAAACACCTTTTGCAAGCGCCGAGAGATGGCGGCGGGGAGCATATTTTGAGAGGATTGGCGATAGGACGCATAGCAACGGAGGCCGCACTGGATTGGCTGGCTATAGTGAGCGACGCCGTGACGCACCACCTAGCAACCGAAGATCACCGGCGACGTTCCCCCTGCCAATTTCCACGCCGCGCAGCGGAGGACGGTGGGTGTATCACTGGGACGTGTGTTAACTGCTAATCAACCTAGGTCCCTCCCCCCCCCGCCCTTCTCGTTGACGCCGCTTTGCTGCGACAGTCTGCGGATGGATCATTGCAAAATATGAGCTCACTTTGGGCCACCCGCAGACGTCGTCTCGTGGCGCTTCTCCGGCGACACAAGAATAGGGAGGCTCAAGTGAGGGTGGGTGCAACTGCTAGATCGGGGATCACGGGACATGGACGCCATTTAATTGCTAAATTTTGCTGGGAGTCTATGGCGCAAAGGGTCGTTTTCTTTCCTAACTCAGGTCTAAGAGCCCATTAAGGGTCTTGAATAATTTACACAAGGTATAAATGGTTACTTTTTCATAGCCACCAGTTTTGTTGCGATAGGTTAAGTTTTTTTTTAACGCGAAAAATGGTAAATTCCTCCATCTTGGACGTTGCTGCTTGTCTGGCAACCCAGTTTACTCCTCTCGACGTTTGAAATTCTCAGAGCGAGAAGGAAGCGAGAGAGGCTGCGCCAAGGCTTTCGTTGCTTGCAATGGGAGGCGAGAGGAGGAAAGGCGCATGGAACAACAGAGTTGCAACAGAGCGGGCGTCTGCTCTCGTGCAGGCAACATCGGCGCATATCCTTTCTCGAATCATCTCCCTCAGACGCCGCCATTAAATTGCAAACGCTCTTACAGGTTTTGAGTTGCGCCCACCCTCACTAGAGCCTCCCTACACAAGAACACTCTCCCTCACTGCATGACTGCACCTCGGTTGCTGGGTCTTACCTCATGCCGTCCCTCTCTATTACCAGCCAATCCGGGAGGGCCACCCTTGCTATGCGTCCTATTGCCTATAGCGTCAGCGGCCGGGGTGCGAGTGTGCGCTTTGGAGGCCCTCGCAAGGTCCAGCTGTCGGCTTTGGAGACCTTTGGCCGCACACGGGCTGCGGGTTCGTTCTTCGGCCTGCCACGCCGTTCCTGACGCGCAGTCGTCGTACCACGTCACCGGGCAGGAATCGCACGGTGTCGTCGCCCCTGTAAGTAAAACATGTACCCACAACAACGAAATGGCTCTGTCGTTTTCCGTGCATCGCGCACACGTCCTTCGTGCACACGTTAAGTGACCTGATTTTCAAGCACCAGGACGAAGATCAGTTTCGGGGATGTTCGCCCAGCGGAAAAGTGATAAGAGGCTGCATTCACCATGCTTTGATATATACAGGGTATTTCACGAAAAGTGGACAAATTCGATATTGCTCAAACTTCGCCTCGCAACAAAAAAGGCTTGTGTCGTTTTGGTCTTAGGCCAGGGGCCTATTTAGGAAAATTATTAAAGTCGGGGATAATTAAATTGTTCATTATTTTTGTGAAATTAACTTTTTTAACATTGTGTTTAAGGACATGGTTTCAATTAGAAAATTGCTTACCATCATCGAAAGACACTAAATCAACAAATCGCAGAACAATAGAAGGCACGCGAAGCATTTTATGGCTTTCTGAAAACCGCACAAATTCGACGGGTTTTAAAGTTTCGGTTTGCTATCGGAGCACATGTCGGCCCCGACGGCACCGCGCCCCGTGGAGAAATAGTGCAACCAACCTCTGCTGCGCTGTTGTCGCGCAACGGAGCAGAGGCTGGCTGCGCTATGCAAAAATGCGTAGGGCTCGCTTAAAAATGCGACAGCATTTTTGAGCGAGCCCTACGCACTTTTGCATCCGTATATTGGTTTGTAACCAAAAAAGCAAGTGGGGCGAGCATCTGATGGAGACTTACTTCAATTATGCATACAGTGGTAGCGCACCCATCCAATGTAATATGATATACTAGTTTTTAAGCGGTAAACGCAGTTACCAAGGGTTTCCTTCTGTCTATATGGATGTATATGGATGCAGCGAGAGAGAAAATTTTGAATTGCAGTGATACCATAGCGAAAGACGTTGTTTCGTTGCGAGAGGCCCAACTGCGAAAAGTAGATAGCCCCATCAAAAACATTATGTGATTTGATTGTGAATGTGATTAACAGAATCCGTGATCTCTGAAGAAAATTATTGCTAGAATTTCCACAGCATTTCCTAAGTTGTTTAGTAATGAAATGTTTACAGAGTACAAGGCGGTACAAACTGCTATCGCACTTCAACGACAAACGGCGCGGGCAATCTCGGCGACAATATTTTTTTTTTCGCATGTTGATGCGATTTTAAATTTTTTTCAGAGCGGATTCAGAAATGACTTGTCAGGGGTGCTGCGACGGTGCGATGTTTGGGAAACTCTGCCATAGGCTCTTGCCTGTGTGATCTAACGCGCCACTGTGGCGTTCTGCCTTCCAATGGCAGGGATGGAACGACGTGAGCTACCATGGCTGTCCCCAGATCCGGACTCCCAACATCGACGCCCTCGCGTGGAACGGGGTCCGCCTGAGCCGCTACTACACCCAGGCCCTCTGCACTCCTTCCAGGGCTGCGCTGCTCACTGGAATGTACCCGATCCACACAGGTTGACTCTCGCCCTCTTGATTCAACACCCGTTCGCAGACTTGCGTTTGCTTGGGTTGGGGCCGAGCTCTATTGACCTTTTGCGACGAGAAGACTTTAGGGGCATGTATTACAGAGGGTGTCCAACCGCTTGATTGGGGTCACGTGGTTGAGGGGCAGCGTTTGGAATACGGGCTGCTAGGAGGAGACGAAAGTGTTGATCGTCTGCAAACGCCCCCGCCTTTCCTCCTCGCCACGCGACAGCGCAGCCCATGTGCACCAGCGATCAATCTCCGTTGCAGGCTTCCGCCACCAAATTGCGAACGCTCCCCAATGTTGGAGTTGGACCCCCTCAACTATCTAGGCTCTCTAGGGAACAAACTGGCACGCTGGCGCCATCTATGACGCGGTCCTGGAACCTGGAAGTGCATTTCACCAGAGGGAAGGTTCATCGATCAAATGTACGGACTGTCTCTGAAAAAAAAATGTCGTTTATAACATTGTCAAAATGTTTTATTGTTTTTTTCGTGCCACAAAAAAAATAATGATTTGGGAAAGAAAAAAAGAAATTTACAGAAAATAAGTGTTCCACGGCTTCCCGATGGATGACACCATTGTGTTCTTTCGTTGTAAGAGATTTTTTTTAATGTTTTAATACACACGGTTGTAACCGGTAGCAAGTGTGTGAAGCAACCTCAAGAGTCGAAGGAAAGTCGTATTTTGGTTTGCTAGTTTCAGGGCCGTTTCGTGCATGTCATCAAATAACTGTTCAGAATATTTTGTAGTAACCCGGGTTCATTATGTCGACATACGGGTATTCAATACAGCAAAAAAAAAAAAAAGAAGAAAAAACAACAGCTTTTATTTCTATCCTGGGGTTGTGAGGTAAACTACAGTCACTAACAGCCAGTGTTGATAAAGTACTTCAAGTAAAATACAAAGTAAATAAAAAGTTATGTTTGTACTTTAAGTAAAATAGCAAGTACACCCGACACAATGTACTTGGAGTAAAGTATTATAAATACAATGTACTTTCAAAGTAAAGTACGAGTACTTTTTGACACAATTGTTGATGATGGCCTTTGATTTTCTTATTGGCTATACAGTGGGTATTTTAACTGGTATACATTACGCCAAGGGAAATCGGGGGTGCACAAGTTATTTTCGGAAGTGGCGGCTAATATTTAATAAAATCGAGCGCTCAGAAAGTAGTCATTTTCGGAAATGGTGCCTAATTCAGGAGTCCCTCCCACTTCTGATTTTGACGCCGCTTGCACTGGCCTGCGCGCAGATTGAACGTACTAAGATGACGTCAGCCACGTAGCGTCCACAAGCAATCCTCTCGTGGAGAGTGTTCTCTTCTAATATGAGTATCTCCCTCGTTTTCGCTGACCGAAGGAGAAGTAGCGAGAGTTAGAAATGGCTGCTGGAAACCCGCCCCTTCGTAAAAACGGAGCGATGCGTACTCCGCTCACATTTCTGGTGAGGGTAGAATACCTAATAATATCCCTTTCTGTATTTCTTAATTTCATTTCATTTCATTTCAGTTATTTACCTCAAAGGTATCTGATGATGCATTCCATGAATCGCGGACAGCAAAAAGAGAGGAATATATAGAGAGTATAGCAACATTAACAAATGTCAAAGAAAAAAACAAGGAGCGAACAGTTCATATAAAAATTCACGAACGACATACTACTAAAACCAAAAACTTCAAAATGAATATAGAGAGATTCCATTGATTAGGCAATAGAACGATGAGCGCAATGATAGACTGGAAATTGAATGGCCAAGCTGTGACTGATGTTAGGATAAAAAGAAATAAAGTAAACAAATCTGCGCAGCTTTACTTAAATAGCCTATATGATCGGGTTGAGTCAGTACGCGTCTTTGAGGGACTGTTCCAATCTTTTATATATCATAATAGTGGCGAGAACACGAACAGAACATAAACAAGTTAGTACGTGATTTAATTGGTTCAACTTTGCATGTGTCATCAAGCCTGGGAGATATGAACCATACAGGTATTCAGAAAGATGTCCTGAAAAGTGATTCGCTGCAGTAAAATCGATGGAAAAAGCATAAACGAGTAATCTTCCGTCCATTTGCTTAAAGGTTTGTTCCAGGTTTTTCTTCAGCTCTGATACACTTGTTAGGGGAGCGTACTCGTGGCCTTGTTTTGTAAAGCTTCCAATACTAAGGTTAAATAATTTTGGTGAGGATTCCATATCATGCTGGCATATTTGAATTTCGGAAGTATAATTGGCTTATAAACAAGAAGTTTCGTTTCTTCGGTAACAGATAGAATGTTTTTTTTTTTTTTAAATCTTAGTTTGTGGGGTGCATTTTTTACTATACAATCTATATGCGCATTCTAGGCCAAATTGTTGGTAAAGCTAACTCATAAGTACTTATATAATGTTCCACATTCAATTACTTAGTCTAAAGGGGAGTAGAGGATTAGTGATGTTTTTTTTTTTTACTTATTTGTAGCGGTTAAACGGGGCATTTGTTTGATCTAAATTTCATTTGCCAAGAACACCTCCTTCGCTGATATCATTAGGACAGTTTTGAAAAATTACATAATCTGTTGGGCATAATATTTTCGGGTAAAGCGCCGAATCGTCAGCAAAGAGTTCAATTTTTTGTGGAATATTTGGTGGCAGGTCATTAATACAAAAAGAGTAGTGGTCCGCGAGCACGCTCGCCTGGGGTTACTCCAGAAATCACCGGTATCTGGGAGGAGACTGCGCTGTTAGTAATTACGGAGTGAGTTCCGTCGGTGAGGAAGGCTGAAATCTAATTTATCATGGATGGGTCAATTTGGAGGTGGAAAAGTTTTAAAATCAATCGTTAATGAGGTACAGTGCCAAACGCCTTGGCGAAATCAATAAACATAACACTCGGCTGTCCTCCTGCATGCGTATTAATATGCAAATCATGGACAAATTTGGAGAGCTGGATATTGCAAGACTAGCTTTTTCTAAAACCGTGTTGATTCGAAAAATTAGCTTGTCTGATCCAAGTGTAACGTGGTGTTAGTAAAAATGATATGTTCCATCAATCCGCAGGGTGCACGGATGAGAAAGATGGGGCGATAATTAGACGGGTTTGATGGGTCACCATTTTAAAGGTGGGTTTAACAGTGGCGGAACTCCAGTTGAGTGGAACACTTCCCGAATAGTTTAGAAAAGATGGGCGACACAAAACACTTTAATAACTTCAGAAACGTCCCTGAGAAGAGATCCTCTCCCGGAGCGCTGCTGGAAGGAAGCGTTTCTATTAATTTTTTGGTACCGTCGCCATTGGATTGGGTTGGGGGGGGGGGGGGGGGTGTAGAGTAATAACAGGGAAGTTGAGATACGGAGGGAGAGGGAAGTCTTCCTCTATAAACATACCCCCCCCCCAAAAAAAAAAAAAAAGAAAGAAATACAAGTAAAGAAAATCTGATGCTTCATTCTCGTTCATTTGGCGACTATCAATTCCTAGAAACCAATGGTCATTCCGAGCATGATTCGGATTGATGGCCTTCCAAAACTTACTAGAGTCAGTACGAAGTAGATGTAATAATATACATCAGTAAATATTCTTCTTAACTATTTTTGCTGCTTTATTAGTCTGTCTCGAGAATACGAAATAAGAGGAACAGTCATTGTCGTCACCACTCTTTTTGGCTTTCGCAGATATCCGTTTCTTTTCATTCAGTAGGCGTTTTAAGTTTGTCGTAAACCAAGGTAAAAGGGCATTTGACTTTATTCTGATTATGGGGAGATATGCCGAAATAAGGCACTGTAATGCAGTTTTCATTTCAATTAAGTTATCTTTCGCCTAACGACGCATGCAAGTCATGGTATATTGATCGGAAAAAAAGGCAACTTCCGCCTTTAAGGCGTTAATATGAGTGTGAGCGTGATTATGAATGAGCTTGTGGTAGGTTCTCGGTCGTTTTAAGGTAAACTATGTTTTAACATGAACAATGGCGGGATCAGTAATGAGGTTGATAACGTTAGTTGAATTCACATGTTCAGGATTAGAAACCAAAAACAAATCCAGTGTTGCATTGCCCCGTGTAGGAACGTTTACGATCTGTGTTAGTTGAAACATTTCCAACAGACAAAGAAACTCGCTTGAGCGACCGGCATACAAAGAACTTGGATAGGGTTGTATTGTTTCCCAGTTTATTTCAGAGCAATTAAATTCTCCAGCGAGTGTGAGAACCTCGTTTGAGTAAGCACTTCTTATGGTACTAAGAAATGTGTAGAAGTCATCGTTAAAGAAATCAGGGTTTGAACTTGGAAGGCGGTAACAAACACTATTCAAAACTTGGCGGAAGTCCAATTCCAGACGAATCCAGAGCAATTTAGGAGAGGAATCACACTTCATGAAGGAACAGGGGATGTCATCTTTGACGGTAATACCCACGCCTCCTCCCCTCGAAGAAACTCGATCCATTCGGAAGAGTTTATCGTTTTTCTTAATACTAATTCGGCGTTCTGTATCTTACACGTGACCCACGCTCCCGTACTGAGAATAATATCTGGCTCGCAAGAAGAAGTGATACACTAGATTTAATCTTGTTTGGAAACAAAGCTGCGGAAGTTAGCCACGAAAAAGGATAACGTTGGCACGTTTCTCTGGCGGAGTGGACGAGATAGTTCAATGTTTTCAGTAAGTCAGTGGGTGGGACGTTGGCCCTCACGTTAGGAAGGTTACAACTGGATGACGGCAGTGCATTCATTTTCGTACACACGTTTTGTTACCAACGCGCAGTTTGTTATATGACAGCTTATATATAATGCTCTGAGCTCGGAAGGACACAAACTACCACAATTTTGGCCGGGCGAACAACACCTTTGATGAAAAAACCTAGGAGACCCAGACTTTCGGTAAAGGCAAATTTTTAAGCTTGAAGCATTTTTCATGACCTTGTCTTTGCTCTTAGTGCTCAACAATTTGATAATGATTGGCCTGGTTGATACTACCCTCTTCTGACTAAGATAATGACTTCTTTCAATTTCACCAAGTTGGGTGATGTTTTCTTTTATGAAGTATGAAAGCAATTTTTCTGTGTCATTCCAATTCTCATTTTCTCCTTCCGGCATGCCTTTTATTATTAGGTTATTTCTTCGCATTCGTTGTTTATGTCTCCAAGGCTTTCAGAGAGTACAGTCAAGTGGTCAAGCTCTCAAGTGGTCATACACACCCACAGACTTGCGCTGCACATCAGCTATAGTTGCGCCTAGAGTGTCCAAAGTTTCCTTGACGTTAGCGATTTTAATAATCTTTGCTTCTAAGTTAGGGACACGTATCCCCAGACCAGTAATTCCGGAATTGATCGCCTCCAGTTTCTTCGAGTTCTCCAGCTGGAAAAGAGCGGTGCTCGTTGTTAATACCTGGATAGCTTCTTGAAGCTTATATAATATTTGCTCGGTTGTCGTTGGGCCAGGGTTTGTCTCTACTTCCACAGATGTTCAAAACAACACCAACAGAAGAGTTGCGACAGTAAACGGCTTGAAAAAAAACTGAAAGCGCCGAAACAGGCAAGGCTCGGACGATATGGCTCTGCGTGGTGTAACCTTTGTTTTGATCTATTCACGAAGCTGCCGATGCCTGCCCGGTACATTGATACATCGACACCCATAATGCACAGACTCCGGGGAATTTACATCAAGGAATAAAAACAAAATACACTTAATATCACAGTGACATATATAGCGTAAACATACCAGAAAAGGGTTCACGACAGGTTTGGCGCTGTTGGGGAGCGACGATCCTTTTTGTATTTGGGTTGAGTAGATGACGGCAGAAGAAGTCGAATTTGGAGGTTTTATGTGCCAAACCTACGACGGGCATCTGACACGCCCCAGCGGAGGACTGGGGATTAATTCTGACCATCAGGGGATTTTTTGACGGGCAACCGAAAGCTCGGTTACACGGCGCCTTCTCCACAATAAGCCTCCGTCAGATTGCGGGCACCTCGGCCGGGATTTGAACCCGCCACATGGGAATCCGGAGGCCGGCGCTCTCGCCTCGGAGCCACCGAGGCGGCTACATGACGGCAGCGCCAGCTGATAGATGGTGGGCGTAGCAGCTGGCGTTGATGAGGCTTACTTGATAATAAGTGTTTTACTTGATCTTTCACTTGACGAAACCGCCGCTGACCGTCACCACAGATGGTAAGAACAGTGGACTCACTCCCAATGTTGGGTGATTTTAGGACGGCCACGGAAGCAGCGACAAGGTTTCTGAAAAGGGTTCACGAGAGGTTAGCTAATGGCGACAACTTGGCTGCAAAGAGTTGACAAAGCATCATTTGTGATACAAAATTAACGATACCAAATTTCGGAGAATGTACTTTGAAGTCGGGAGTTGTACGTTCCTCGGAAAGTATAAAAGCATACTTTAAATGAAGTAGAAGTACATGCTCAGAAAATGTGCTTCAAGTAAAGTAAAAGTTTTTAAAACCTACTTGGGTTAGTGCTTTAAGTATAATGCACTTAACTTACTTTCCAACACTGCTAGCAGTTGATAAAAAACGCAGTACGTTGTGATTTTCGAGCGCTTAACGCCAAAGATAATAAAGCCCACCCCGTGCTGCTTAAAAGCGGTCAGTGACTATAATTAAATACGAGCATATGTTGCGAGTGCATATGACCGGATTTGGTTGCGGAAGTAGGGAACGTAGAATTGCTTAGAGAGTTTCACTTCGCTAAATTTGAATCTTCCCATTATAGAGTATGGTTCTTGAACTATTAACAATAGGTTTCGTTGTTTTAGACCTGCCGGCGATTGTAAGACAAATAGAAGTGGAAACGAACAAGTAAAGCCAGATTATTAACACATCTTATGTCAAATGTATAAACGACTGACAGGCTGTCTACTAAATTGATAAGCCTACCTTAATTATTCCCAACATTTGTTATTTGCGTTTCATGCACAAACTTATTTTTCTATGCCCAGGAATGCAGCACTCGGTCCTTTTCCAGGAAGAGCCACGGGGTCTTCCACTCAATCTAAAGCTTCTTCCTCAGTGGTTGGGTGATCTTGGATATGACGCCCACATCATAGGAAAAGTATTGACGTTAATTTATTCTCAACGCGTCACTTCAATTTGGAATTTATACTTCAACCATCGTCGTACCCCACCACCCCAAAAGAGAGAAAAAGAAAAGAAAGAAAGCGAAACGAACGTGACGCGACTTTTTTTCTATGAAAGGCGTGGCGTCCCTTAGGGGTGAACGGAGTATTCACCCCTAAACTGAGACTGCGCTGGAAGCTAGGTCCTCGTCGGTCAAGTCATACTTTCGCCGCATCATCACGCTGCCGCCCCTATCCTCGCTCAAAGAGCCGGGTCGGGTGATAAAAGGGAGGCGGCTGATTGGCCCGGCAGGCACGTAATTCGCATTGTGAAGGATTCACTGGTCCAATGGTGCAGACTGCCCGGCCCAATATACAGGGTGTTTTGTTTTTCGCTTGCTCTAGAATTAAAGCGGAAATAACCTGATTTAGGGTATTCTTTATCCCTGGGGCCATGTTGGCGGCCTTGGTGGCCACTAGGATAGGTGAGAAAGGTTCATTAGTGATGTAATGAACCAAAAACTTGAGTTAACGTTTAAAAGTTTCAAAGGCAGTCCGTCATCAGTGAATTGACACTCGACCACAGGTGGTCTGGCCATGTGGTGATATTTTCATTTAAAATAAAACAATCATCTGGCTTATACGTTCGGCAAATGCATTAAAAGCCTTCTTTCCGAATTTAGTGTCACGTGACAGTATGAAGTCACGCGAAGAGACCAAAAAGAGCATGAAATGTCCGTGGAGAGTTCGCCTACAGAGCTATGGCTTTAGAAGATTGAAACGGGCGCTTTTAGGAACTTAACTTAATTAGCTGTCTAATTAAATCATTTTGCCCGTTTTCTGGCGGCTGCCATGGCCACCAACATTGTGCCTGACCTAACGGCTAACTGCCAAGTTGGTTGGCCAAGCGGGTGCCATATGTTAGAAGGATCGGAGTCATTTCGTCGTAATATGGCGATTTTATCGACGGAAATAAGAGTAACGCAGACTGCCAACTTTGACTGTGGTGGTTTTATTAACACGATGGCTTTGAGCCTCCACCGTGATATTGCACACACCACTGGGCTTATCGTTCCCATTCGAAAATCCTACAGTCACGCTGTCACGAGTAGGAACCATATTAAGCCGCTGTCCCGCTGTTCATATACATCAAATAAAAAACACGATATTCGCTGAATACAGACGGCCGCAAGAGTTTTCGAAGCATGTTCGTTCCACACGTACGCTTCACAGACGTCTGCACAAAGTTAGTGTATGACCAATGTAACAAAATAGTGCTACCCTTCTCTGTAATGCGAAATTAGAGCGGAGCTCTTGAGGTATTATGCTTTTGCGATATACCATCGTAAATAATTTGGAAGTAATATATTGTCAGAAATAAGAACATGAACTTCATTACAAAAACTTAAAATGAATGTTTAATGCGACGAACTTGAGCCGACAAACATAAAGTAACAACCACTAGACATTCTATGACGGCGAGGGAAGGACGACTGACTGAGGCAGCTATGCGAAGCCCCTTTTGTAAGCGGGTGGGTATCTAGAAGTTTCCCAGCTCGAACAAACAAGAATATTCTCGAGTCATCCAGAACATTCCAGTCATGCAAACAAAAGAAAGATAAAAGGGCGACCGCTGGCGGGGATTAAAGCCCAGTAGCGAGCGGCGTGGGAGTCTATAGCACGCCGCTTTCTCAGCTATTCGGACGCGGCAATATATATATATATATATATATATATATATAACGGGCATGGTGGCGCGAGGCCGAAGGCGTATGTATAAAACTGAGAAGAAAAAAACCCTTAGTGAAAAACAGCAACAACGGACGATTTAACCTTCGACGTTTCGGCCGGAGTCCGGCCTTCCTGACGAAGGCCGGACTCCGGCCGAAACGTCGAAGATTAAATCGTCCGTTGTTGCTGTTTTTCACTAAGGGTTTTTTTCTTCTCAGTTTTATATATATATATATATATATGTATATATATTGATTATTTTTGTAGTTTTTGTTTGACGGTAACACATGGAGGACTATATCGGGGTACGGTGGGGACCCCATAATGCAACGTGCGCAGTGTTGCAATATGGGACTCTTAGGCGCAAGGTCCCGCATTTAGCGGTTACGCCGATGCCGGTAAATAAGGGAATGGTCGTCTAAGAACTGCGCTCTAAAAACACGCCTCAGACAGTGTATGCAGACTGTTCTTGAACGATATATTAGCAGCGTGAGCGTGGCCTAAACGTTCACCGCCGAAACATCCCGTCCTCATTACATAGTTTTCACGGACGTCACTGCCGGGGCTTATGGGATATGTTGCCGCCGTCACCAGGTACTGACGTAGTTTCAGTTTCAGGCCGCCGCCGGCAGCGCTGGCCGCTGCTGCATCGTTTTCGGTGGGCGCGTTTCTTTCACGTTTCGCGTTATGTGCTCTTGCAGTCACGGGAGTGCAGTAATGCCGATATGTGCGAAGCTCAGTTGTCGCAGCAGACGCAAGTTTTCCGCAAGGGAGAGTAACACAATGCCAAATATATAGAAGGCTGCAATGTTTGCCGAAAGTGATACACCGATAGTTTCAGCGCACAAAATCGATGTCCGAAGAAAACCGGAGCTCTTGCTCGCCTACACGGGAAGGCTTTGAAGAACCTCGACGACGACCACGCCTGTGGTCGTTGCTTCATTCTCGTTAAGGAGTATACGTATGTGTCATCCGCAATACATGGATTGCTGAAACCTATGTGCGCTTTGTCACCACGGTTAAGGCAGCTTTACAGTGTCTGGGTGTGTCACGCTGCAGGAACTGACGGGCCTCCTACCAGATTACGGACACCCGCCGCTGCTCTCTTTGTCATCGAGCTTCCTTATCTATGTGGTGAACGTAGCCCACTTATGTTTATAGTGTTTCGGCGACGGCGCGAGTTAGTGCAGCTCAGACGCTGCGACGTTTAATACCTCAAGTACAGGCACGCCTTTTAATGTACGGGCAAACATTCGACTCTCATGCACGATGCGAACCCCGACTGGGTGCCCACCCAGCGGCTGGCAAGAACGTGCTGAACAACCTCCGCCCTTTAAGAGATTGCCGGTTTGCATAATACATTGTATATATCTTTTGAATTAAAATGTTCACTTCCGTGACCCTGCATTTCGAATGGGAACTTTATGTTGTAGTCATGCATATAAATGGATATAGAAAGGTCATACGCACACTCTAAAAAAATGCCTGCGCGTCCATTTACCCGCAAAACACTCAGGCAATTTCTTCGATCCACGAAACTATCTCAGCGAATGATGAGGCGGAACATCCGTTTAGACCTAAAAACCAATTCTGCGCTGTGGCATTGCGCAATGCAAAGTGTCATGCTTGCATTGCGTAGAGTCACAGCGCAGATTTAATTTTGATTTCTAGACCTCATCATTCGCTGAGCTGATTTCGTAGATCGCAGAAATTGGCTCTTCGAGCGTTTTTCGGTTAAGTAGACGTGCAGGCCTTTTTGAGACAGCAGGATGGCACACGCCGTAGCGATGTCGCAATCGAGCAGCGCACCAGCGGTGGCGGCGTCCGTGTTTGCTTCTCAGTACCTGGTAATGGCGGCCGGCGGGTGGGAATAGGAAAGTGACGTCACGTGAAACCTACGTGTAGTATCGGCGGAATGCCCGGGGGGGGGGGGGGGGGGGGGCTGGGGGTGTAGACTTGAATAGAGGGCATGCGACACCTAAAGGGTGACCACCAACCCAAGTGATGTCTGCGCCAAATGGCACTGCTGGGAGCCGCACCGCGTAGCCACTGTGTTGTCGCGCGCTTACCATTCTCACTCCGCAACCAGTCAAGTCGCACCTTACTTATTATGAACGCCGAAGAACGAATTACGCAGGGAGAAGCAGGAACATGATAAGCCACGCCGTTCTTGCTTTGTCAGTGAGAACGGACTGGCTCATTATGCTTATACTTCTCACTGCTTGATTCGTTGTTTGGCGTTCATAATGAGTAAGGCTGCCATCGGATTGGCTGCGGAGTGATAATTCTAAGCGTGCGACGAGACAGTGGCCCCGCGGTGAGGCGCCACTGGCTGGAACATCAGTTGGATCGAAGCGCTTCCTTTAGGTGTCGCACGTGGACTTCCGCTGTGAACTCCTAGACTGGACGCGCGCTCAGAAGAGCCACGAGAAGAATTAAGCAAGCCCAATATCTAGCTCAATTTATGTTTTCGTCTCGGAAGAGTAGTTTTTCTAGACACACAATGAGATAAGGGGGTCATTAAAAAAAAAATCTGGGTGACTATTGAACGTTTTGCGGTGTGTCTAACTCCCCCTCTCTTTGTAGCGTGAAATTTCCTCTTTTAGGGATGAACGTTTAAAACGAGACAGCAAAACTTGGCTTCAAGGCATTAAGACACCAGGCACCTTACAGGTATCCTCTGTACTTTCAGTGGCACCTGGGATTCTACAAGAAAGAGTACACGCCCACAATGCGTGGTTTCCGAACTCACGTCGGGAGTTGGGGCTGCTTCGTCGACTACTACTCTCACGAAAAGACAATGCAGGTAACTGAGCTTAGCTATACGCCCTGGACAGTCCTTGGCATTGGATGGTATACTTAGCATACGGTGTTCCTATTGAGAGCGTGTAGCGTGCGACACATTAAGGGGGGTGCGGCGCCAAGCCTCGACAGATTGGTGGCAGCGCCGCCAAATACAGGTTCAACGGTACACGCCGCATAGAGAAGCGCTTACGGCTCTGACGTGATCCGGCTTTTTCTAATGCAGCATTTTCGCCCCCGTCGCTGTTTTCCCGCGGCCGTATTTCCCGATCTTGCTTTGAAAGTTTGAAGTAAAGGTTTGGCACCTTGACATTCGAAACCTACCCCGGTCCAGCGTGGCTCTGGGCGGGTTTTTCGCCATTCGACCCCTACGTGTGTCCCGCAGTTGCAACGTGAACGGCAACAACTCCAGTGTACCGCCACGTTTTTCGTTTATCTGCGCCGGAAGAAACTCTATACGAAGCGTTTGTGTGTTTGACGGTTCCGAAATCACTACGAGACGACACTTATCGCTGCCGGGAATTGATACAATCTGCGTGAGAAGTATTTTTCGTATTGGTCTTCGCTCGCGGGATGATCTAGTAGACGTGCTGGGATTGAGATGATCGCGACGATTTTCTCCGGGACATGTGGGGGACCTGTGCTCTCAATTTCCGGGACTCGTATAAAAGAAGTTAGCGCCGAATGTGGCCCCGAACGTTTTGTACACCGCAGCGCTCGGATAAGCTAACATTCATTACAACCGAAGATTATCTGCTACTGCAGGATGTCCATGCTTGTCCGCGGCCGTGTTCTACACGAACTGGTTCTGCAAGGAGCCGCATTGTGGCGCCACTGTTCCATCGCACGCTTCCAATAGTCAGTCATGGCTTAAGAAGGCTTATTATCTACGCGCTTCGTGCGTCGTGATTCATTTTTCGGCATTTTGTACCGGCTAATAGAGCAACCCCATTGGCTGCGGTGCGATGAGAGGACCTCGTCAAAACCGCCATTTCTTAGTCACTGCGCTTCACCATTTGGCACAGGTGTTATAAGCTCACACGAGGTCCACCAATATTCAGCAGAACGTGGGATAATCTGGGTGTCAGAGCTCGCCCTTTATAAACTAGCATTCAATTTCGGAGTGAGCCGCTAAATTACTACGCTTTATTAGGTGGGGATTTCTGTGTGTTAGTAAATCGTTAAACTATTATTTATAAAAGCCAACCTTCCGTCGTATTAAGCACCCTACTCTGCAACAGCCCGAAATAATTTGGTCACTATAGTGACTGGCAGCTTAAGAGAACGTAGTAAAGAAATAGGAAAAAAAGTAAGAAAGTCGAGCATAGTAAGCCACTTACTACTTTCAGGCTTGTTACTTCGTGATCCGTTCCTTGGTCTTCCTAGCGGCTAACGGCCAAATCTGATTGTCTGCGGTTGTCTAATTACATTGTCAGGATTCGCTGCACCTTCTAACTACAGGGAAATTATAGTAGCATAACCAGGTTCTATATATATATAAACAAAAAAAAAAAATGATTTCATTTGTCTTGCGCCAGAAAACATTAAACTATAATACTTTGGATGTTCCAATTTGTTTGTAAAATTATATAACATGTTCCTCGTTAATGTTTAACGTGTAACTCTATCAAAGACCGCATAGGGCTCATCATTTTTAAGGTTGTTGGTACTTTAACCCATACAGTGGTAGGTTTGTCATCTTCGTCATTCGCATCGGTAAGTTTGGTGTCAGGTGCTGCATCGGCTATCGCATGTGAGATATTTTGAGTTTTTTTCGGGTAAGTGGACGCGCAGGCCTTTTTTAGAGTGTATGACTCAATATAACGAGACGAAGGAAAAAAATGGCGAACGTTCCGAGAGGAGCCGCTGCGGTTCCCGAGGTGAATACCAGCACAGAGGCAGCTTGAAAGATAGAGAAACTGTCGTTACCGATGTCGTTGCACTTGCTCTTGCCTTCGTTTTCGGTTTCTGCAAACAAAGGTTGAGACTTTTTTTTTTTTTTTTTGCTTTTCTTCGAAGGATTTTTTCGTAGAAATGTTACGCACATCAGGAGTGGACCTGCCACGCATCCCTTCAGGACTGGACTTCCGGCGCGATTTTCGTGCCTCCCACTTCGATTCCGGAAAGTATCTGACACACTTGCTGACCGACGAAGCCACAAAACTCATCATGAACCACCCGGACGAAAAGGTGAGAAAGAAGAAATGAAGCACGATGCTGATGATATGTACATTTCACTGCTTCGCTGCATACGACAGATTACACGCAGCGTATCGAAGCACTAGCTCGACTTTGCAAAATTATCTGGTGGCACGAAAACGTGCTCTAGAAAAGCGCTTTTCAAAAATGCGCGCTCGCGCTTTTTTTTTAACGCAGTGTTATGTTTGAAGAAGAACACGCAGAAAAAGCAAACAATAAACAATTCGTTTAATATATAAGCTGCGTGACGTCGGTCAAGTAAAGTTAAGTTGAGAGTTTACTTGGTTTTTTTATATATAGTTTAATTTTCCCTTCACTGCGTTCTAGGGGTACAGGTAACAAACATGGAAATCCAAATAAACTGCAGAATTATCTCACAAATTTGAAGTTAAGCCGCAACAAAAAAAGAATAAAAGACGTTTACAATCCCCTGTAACGCCGAATTAGAGCGCAGCTCTCGAGGAGGAGGAGGGGAAGGTACGGAAAGAAGGGTATGCCCCTCCTCCTCATCCGTACCCTTCCCTCCTCCTCTCCTGCTTCCCTCCCATTTGGCGGAAAATTTTCGCTAAATTTCCCCTAAATTTTGCGGAAAAAATTCCCCACTAAATTTATCCGGGAAATGTTCCACTAATTTCCTCGCTAAACAGCGGGGAAATTAGTTTTCGACCGGGTAATTTTATTTGCTAAATTTAGGGAGGAATATTTTCACTAAATTTAGCGGTTAGATTTTTCCGCTAAATTTAGCGGGGAAATGTTTTTCGAAAAATTCAGCGGGGAAATTGTTTCGCTAAATGCAGCGGGAAAATGTTTCCGCTGAATTCAGCGAACAAATATTCCCGCTAAATTTAGCTGGAAAATTTTCGGCTAAATTTAGAGAAAAACTTTTGCGCTGAATTTAGCGGGGAATTCTTCCACAATATATAGTGGGGAAACTTTCCCGCTAATTTTTGAGGGGAAATTTTTCAGCTATATTTAGCGGGGAAATTTTTCAGCTAAATATAGCGGGGAATTGTTTCGGCAAAGTTTAGCAGGGAAATTTACCCATAACGCAACGCGCGGTGACGTCACTGGTGACTTAAGTCGTGACAACGTTACTAAAACACTCAGTTGGGAAACTCGCCGTCGAAACCTGGGTCGCTGGCGTCCACCGAGACCGAGCTAAATGCGACAACAGCGCCACTCTTTATCATTTGTCTGTACTGTGGTCACCTTGAGCTTTTTGAAAGCCTGTTTTTGCGTAAAAACAAACAAAAAAAGACTCTTTTTGTATGAAATTTATTGGAGTTTAGTAAAAAAGAGGGGCGCGTTATGTTTTTAAAATCTTTAGTTTGCAGGGTTTTGCGGCACAATTAATATTGTTTTTATACAACCATGCCTCAGCGGGCCTTTCAGCTGGCGCGTCCCGCCCTAGGTGCATTTTAACTTCGGTAGCTAAACGCGGCGCGTCTTCCTCTACCGCTGTATCTCTACCGCTGTATCTGTTCTTAAAGCCAAAATAGTCACGTGCAGTTCCTCGAGTGACCGCTGCGGGAGAAATGGTGGTGTTGTGTTCGTCATTAGCTCGGTGCTCGGAGACAGATTGGGGCCACTTTTTCAAAGCTGTCTCTGTGGGAGTTTCCCAACTGAGTGTTTTAGTAACGTTGACTCGTGACGTCACACGTGACGTCACGTGTGACGTCATTATGCAAAACGTCCCATAATGCAACGCGCGGTTACGCCGACGTCGACGGCGACTCCGACGCCGTTCAAGCCGGAAACCGGCGCCTATCAGCTGCGCTCTAAAAAAAAAAAGTACAGTGCGCTCAACTGTTAAATACAACAATTAGGTGGTGGGCGAAAGCTGCCGCCTAACAATAAAAGTTAATGATAGCGATGTTGCAGCAGAAATTAAAGCTAGGTCACCTTCAATTCTTTTGCCAGGGGCCCTAAACTCGTGAAACACAAAGTTTGAGCCGAAAGTTTGCGGAACGCGCCGGTTGGACGTTGGCGAAAAAAGCGCGAAGTCATCGTCGGGATAGGCCAATTGGTGCGCTCCGTCAACTTCGGCCCCAACTTTGTGTTTGACGAGTTTAGAGGCCCAGATGTCTCAGTGCTTTATTATGACTGCAGTCCTGTTATCATTCTTAAAACGGCGGTGGAGAGCGCGACAGAATGCGATGTTTATATTTTTCGTATCTTACACCGACGACTGTAGATAATTTGCTGAGAAACAAAAACTAAGTGTAAACACACAGAAAAAAAAATAAAGCAAAAAGCCATCTTTTTTGTTTGTCATCGCCGAAATAAGCATCGGTCATCGCGTCAATTCTGGGAGTCTAAAACTAAACAGTAACAGCCGTATGAGCTGCCAGACTGCAGCATAATACGACGTAGGCAGTCTTTCAGGCAGATACCCGTGTTTTGTATATTATAGTTGAAGAAAGAACAGTGTAAAAGGCGGGAAGAAAACAAAATGCCAACCGAACATACACTTCGGTAAGTGTTTGTCTGCTGAAGGTTTGCAGCGGGAAACCATTCGCCACAATTTAGTCGGTCTACGTGTTCAGCAATAAAGAGGGTATGATGCCTCAGTATGTGCGTTCCTTTTCCGTTTCCACATCTGGCGTATATTCAACGCACAAGTTAATGCAAAAAACAACAATAAAAAACTAACTAACTGTGAAATCGCTCACTTTTTTAAGACAAAAAGCACCGGAGCACTGTAGCTGGTTACTTGGATGACAATACTAAACTACGTCACGTGTTCCTGTTTTTGCTTTTGTTACTGTTTTACCAAGTGAAGTCAAAGCCAACCCGCAACATACAAGTTGTATGGCTGCGATAGCCATATATCAGGAGCCGCAATGTAGAGGGTGCCCCAAATAGCAATTTACAGTGTTTTTCTCACCGCAAAAATAAACTACGCATCGGCGAACGCTCATTCTCCACCCAAGTGTAGTGCAAGTGGTTCGAACGAGCTGCCAAAGTTTCAGAGCTAACCGTAATCTTAGTCAAACGTTATACGTGTTTACTCGAAACATGCAATGGGAAAATGGCGGCGGACAGAGGTCTCGAATACTTGGACCTCTATGGAGCCAGTTACCGAAAACGGGCGAAATATTGGCACCATTATTCACCTGACAATCTTAAGAAAATTACTTATTGAGGCAACGGTTAGTTTTGTAACTTTGGCACCTGGTTCGGATAGCTAGTTTTACGTTTGGGAGGAGAATGCACGTTCGGCGATGTGTAGTTTATTTTTAAGGTGAAAAAGAAAGGCAGTATGCATTTTTTTTTTTTAGGAGAACACGTTATACTGAAAATTATCCTGACCAGGCGTATGAAGCAGTTTGAGCTCTTTGGAAACTTTGCGTTGACTTAGGTGATTACTTTCTTTTCTTTTTGGAGGGGGGCTACATTTAATAAATTAAATTAAACACAAACTAATAAAACGACATTACGGCCAGTGCGCGGGCGAACTGGTGGAAGTTTAACATGATTATATTAACCCAAGACTGGGGCAGAAGGACACAATTTATTTGGAATTGAATAGAAAGTTAGAGAGACAGACAAAGAAGTAGCTGTCTCTCCCTGTTACTTTCTCTTCAACAGTAAAACAAAGTCCTCGTTCTGCCCCAGCCTCAGCTTAAAATAATTATGGTGAAAATGTGTAAGATCGGGGAGACAACAAATTTTTCGCACGTCACACAATGCGCTTACACATTTGCTTCACTCGCCATCCAGTCTGGTATCTATTAGGATCTTGATGTAGTCTCTGCGTTTTGATGGGTTCTTACCTTGGGACATAGCAGTTTCTCGGGCTTGCGTGCAACCCTGGGAAATAGGAGTTTTCCTCGCTCCGTCATTACATAAAACGATCGGCAAGCGACAAGTCACAAAACTTTTTGTCTCATTATATGTTACATATACCCATAATGTTTTTTTCACTTCTTGGGCTGGCATGCTGTAGAGAGAGATGCGGTAAGGAATACATAATGAAACAATCAAAACTGCCAAGAAAACGTACGTACTGGTGTCGCACACATGCTTTGAAACTGCACCGACTTTAGACACGAGAATGGGCAGTGACAGCGTTCTTGTGTCGAAATTTAAGGAAGATCTGAAAACGTTCTGCAGTTCGTCATGTCAGGGCGATAACTCACTTTCCGTACTCCTCTAAGTATCCCAGAAAATTTGAGAATGCCATTAATGCGCGGCTTTTTTTCATATTAAAAATGTAATATCAAATCGCGATGCACAGCTTTAAAAATAAACAAGAAAAACACCGTTTTATAGCAATAACTTTTATAGGCTCTTCTCTCCACTGGAAATGACATATGTGGTTGATGTTGTAACTGCCTACCTCTGCCCTTGCTAACGCAAGTGGGAACGCGCAGGCGCGCGCAACCAAAGCTCTGCGGAACCCAGCGGCTCGCGCTGAACCCGGTGCTTCTAGTCTCAGCTTAAGGGTGAATGGAGCATAGTACTAGTACGAGTATTCTTTGATTTAGTAGTTTTAACTGACGATGTAGGCCGTCCGTCGTCGACGTTGTCAAATTGTTGAAAAAGATTGCCCTCCACCCGCGGGAATCGAACCTTCGTCCGTCGCGTGTAAAGCAGAGGCATCACCACTGAGCCACGCCAAAGAGTTAACGAGCCGCTTTAAACACAGGAGTTTTGTGCACCTGATGCCCACTGCACATGTTGTCTGAAAAAATAAGAGTAAGCAATAAGAAGATGCCGTTTTAGCACTGTCAATGTCACGAGCCCTTGCCGGGAGACGCGCTTTCGTGCACTCCGAAACAAAAAATTCCGAGGACATTAAAGCACTTCTTATGAGTTGTGAATGCGAAAGCATGAATGCCGTTCTTCCACTCCCTTAGTTCGTCTGCGCTGTATTGGCGTGGACGCCCAGATTTCGCTACTGCCGAGGCTTGGGAACTCCGACAACTCCGGCGGCAACCAAAAACAACTCGGGCGATTCGGCCAGGGTGTGACGCCGTCCAGCGCCGTGCGTCCTCTGTGCGTTTCCCCCCTGCGTTCCCATTCGCTGCGGCGGCGTGAAAACATTTTGGTTTGGGCGGGAAATATCGGTCCCGGACCGATCGCTGCCGCGATCGAATATTCTGTCGCCGGCGAGGTGCCCCCCTCTCCTGGCGTCAATTTCCCCGCCGATTCACCTGCGGATCCACAAGTGTGAACACGCCCATAGAGAAGTTCGCCCTTCTCGTGCCTTATGTCTCCATCCCGTTTGTCTTGTATGTTTTTCGCATGACGACCGGCAGCCACTGTTCCTGTATCTGGCCCATCAAGCTCCTCACTCGGGCAACTTCGTCAGACTCGAAGTGCCTGAAACCTACACCGAGCAGTACCGGGACATCGGCTCTAAAAATAGGACTTTGTATGCTGGTATGTCGCCCCCGACAAAGATTATGATGGCCTTCTCGTACCCGCCATTGCTCTTAATTTAATTTATGACAGAATGCAAAATGCGTCTTTGGGACTGACAGTCTATCTTGAAAATATCCTCAAAATATTAACGTGAAACGTCCTATGGCTAGATGCTCGGCATTTCCTGATGGCTGGATAAAAGCGTGGCTGCGAGGCTCGATGCTCGATTGGTTAACGGGGAGGTCATGCGACCTGAGGGGTAGGCGAGGAGGATCTCGACCACCTGTGCGCACCGAGGGAGAGGAGCTCGAGAGTATGGAAGGTTCTGGAAGATCGCCTGGATTATCAGTCGGATTAGTGATAGTGTCGCTTTATTCTAGGAACACTTATCAAGTGTACACGTGGTACGAGTTAAACTACACTCTAAAAAAAAAACCTGTGTATCCGCTTTCCCTCACAACACTCGGAGAGCCAATCATGGCAACCTACGAAGGCACCTCGGCGAATAACGATGCCGAACCATATGCTTAGACCAAAAAACGCAGTCTGAGTTGTGACATTAAGCAATGCAAAACGTCACGCTTGCATTGCCTAATGTCACAACTCAGACTAAGTTTTTTTGTTTAAACATATGTTGCGGCATCGTCATTCACCAAGCTGCCTTCGTAAATTGCCGTGATTGGCTCTCCGAGTATTGTGAGGGAAAGCGGATGCACAGGCCTTTTTTAGAGTGTAGCTGAGGAAGAGCGCCGTGAACGTAGACGTCTGGCGTTTGGAAACTCGGAGTATCGCTAAACGATTGTGATGGTAAAACGTTTAACGAATGCTACATAAGTGCCCAGCAATTTACCATACCTTGTTTAAAATAAAAAATAACGTAGCAGAAACGTTGATAAAACGTTGAGTTTAACCCATAGCAGCAAAGGCTCCATCGCGTGTAGGACAATCACACATCGTGATTGTGCCGTGATCTTGGGCTTGTTTCTGCGCCGAGTGATTTGTTTGGCCCGTGATAATAACGACACAAAAATGACGAGCGGCTTGACGATGCACCTTTTTGCGCTCCCTGATTGGCTCCGTCGGATCGTGGCGTTGGCTGCTGTCGTAACATGAAACGGAGTATATCGCTTATTTATGTCCCCGTTTGCCGTGTTTGTGCAATCATGGACATTCGTGCTGACGCGCTCATCTTCCCGAATAATTCATGAACGTTCTATGTACCGCGAGCGAACATACATTTCGGAACATTAAGATACATTGGTTTTACGGCAAAGCTCTTAAGGGCTGGTTTCCATCGTGTCCGTCACAAACAAATTATGACACATAACTCTGAACAGCTACCGCCATCTATGAGTGACAGCGGCAAACAGACAACCGGCTTGCCGGTCGTCTGGTTGCCCCCGTCGCTCACAGATGGCGGCCACCTCTCCAGCCTTTCCACTCTGGCTTGCCGACTTGCGGCCGGCCATTACTTCATTCTCACCCTAGTACAGCTACGCTGGTCTTCATTCCTTACCAGAGCGGAAAGGGTGAAAGTTTTTTTTATAATATTCCCAACATGCATCACGGGGTACTGTGACAAAAGTTATTTACCCTGTGGTGACGTACATGTTCTGCCTCTGGAAGCGTATCAAAATGTTAAGTAATCATTGTAATGCAACGAAGAAAACAAAGGGAACTTAGTCGCGTTTTGAATGTTAAAATCACGACTGTTGCGCAAGACGGCATGTGGTTAGGGAATGTATAAATGCTGTGCATGTGATAGAAAATGCGGTTTTACGGCGCGCATTGAACATTCTATTTAGCAGCAGCTAGGATACTCGGTGTACAATTAGTAGTCCCGTGCGACCGTGTGAGCGAAGACTCCCAAACTTTCTCGAAATACCCATAATCTGGTCCAGCAGGGAATCTGCCTATGATCATTGCCTGCACAGTGTGCACTACTTGATTTTAAACTGTAATATGCTTGCTAAAATATAACACTGCCCGAAACCATTCCTGAGTCACCTAGAACGCATCCACTCTAAAAATATTTATCTTGAAAATTTGTATATTTCCCCGCATGTAAAATGAAAATGGCGATCTTTCATTCCTTAATATTGTGCATACTACAGTATATGATTTGGTAGGTGCGATCAAAATGCTTATGGTGTTTTTTCTCTTCTTGGTACATGCCCTGCGTTTTACAGGCATGGTGTCTGCGCTCGACGAGTCCGTAGGCGCCGTATTCGAAGCTCTCGACAAACGAGGAATGCTGAGCAACAGCATAGTGGTCTTCAGCTCGGACAATGGCGGCGCCCCGGATGAGGAAACTTACAACAGTGGATCCCCATGGCCTCTCAGGGGACAGAAGATGTCACTCTCGGAAGGAGGGGTCCGAGCACCGGCGCTTCTCTGGAGTCCTCTTCTGTCCGCAGCCGAGGGCTCCATCTTTGACGGCCTCTTCCACATCACCGACTGGCTGCCCACATTCTACGAGCTCGCGGGTAAGCGACAAACTTTGCGCGAGGTTTAGTCGCGGAGTAGCAGTCTCATACAGCGTAAATAGGAGAATAAGGGGACTTCACACATATTCGCGCAATCGGGTTTGAGATTTATCTTGAGAGCCCGGGAAATGGTTTGCAGATGCTTGTAACGATGCGCTTATACCTGTGTCACGCGGGTAGCCCAATGACCTTACAGCTACCTTTATCTAGCCAAAGCTACCCTTAGCAGAGACTGTGTGGTGAGCTATTATTGATTAGGCGAGTTTTACAGTCTGTTTATTTTAGATACAACCGAGCAAAACGTTATCAATCGGTAATTGCCCTAAGCAGTTTAACCATAACGTAAAAAAAGTTCCATGTTTTCGTCATAGAACAGAAACACAATGCAAGCTCACAAGATCAAGACGAGCCGCCAAAACAAATTAGTATTTTATGTTTAACTATACTAGAGCTCGAAAACACATCGGGTAAGCAGCTAACTCTTGCAATAGGATATAATTAAAGCGGTGAAAATAAAAACAAACCAAATGTTGGGGAAAAAAAACACATCCGAAAAAACAAAAAAACAAAAAAACCTAAATCTTGATTTTGTGGAACTGGGATTTATATGATTGTATGCTTTGTGTAAAATATATGTTTTGATATGTTTAAATAACCATTAATTTCTTTTCTGGGTGGATATTGGTATTAATATATGACAAAACTGATATAAAGAGGTTTTTTTCTTAGCAAGTTTCCTATGGCCTCAGTTTCTGTGGAGTATGGCGTTGTGGCCGCGTTTCTTTAATTTGGTGCTGAAATGGTCATAGTAACTCTCGTACTTATTTGAGCTCAAAAGAGTCACACGGCCTCAGGACATGTTGATCGTAGCATAAAGCGCTGCAGCGTTTCATGCGTCTAGCGATGGCGCCATTAGCGTGAGTAACAAATGAACCTCGAGGCTTATCCTGCAGGAGCATTTTCGCATAGTGTAAAATGCATTGAGGTGACTACGCCGATTCGGTTAATCGCGGTTTGTGCTGCAATTGAATAGCACGTTAAATCGGTTCTAGATGTTTATAATGAGTGGAATCATTAAATATTTTGCAAATATGGGATAACCGTCGAGGTCCCTTGGGCCGGGGTTCGGTGGGGTAGCGCCAGTCAACATAGGACTCACCACCTCAGAGAAAATTATTCCTCGTAGTCTGTAACAGTCCGATAACTTGTAAGGGCCCGGATCTCACTATGGAAGTTATAGTGATTGTGAAGTTGAAATCGTATTCATTATTCGTCAAGGAGAACAACGGCACTGCAGGAAGCCAGCAGTTGTTGAGCTAGATACCCACAGAGCTGCGTGTATGGAAGGTGGTTATGTGATTAACATGTAGAACATATTGACAAGAGAGTCTTCTGGTCATCGCCGTAAAGAGCTTATCAAATCGCGAAGGTTTCGTTGAAGGGTGCTGGAAGGACGCTCCATTCTATGTGAACTCGCTGTTTCCAAAAGACGGTGGTACCGTGATAAGACGATTGCTTTCCTTACATTTGTTTTCATCTGCCTGAAAATTTCAGTTTTTGTCTAGCTATATTTTACTTAAAAATGAATGGTGTATTTAAAATACCGCTCATGAAATAGGAAGCATTTTAAAGTAATTGTGCGCGACCCATATAGGCGATGAAGCTAGCGATAAGTTGAATGCTGTTGGGCAGTCCAAACGCAGACATCTAGTCATGCAGTGAATTTGCCATATTCTCGCCGTCGTACCTATCACATTTTGTTATGTTTGGATAAAATTTTAATTTTAATTTGTTTCTGAAAAATAATATTTTGGCTTTATTTCAGTAAATAAGGAGCTAGATAGTCTATGGAATCTTTTTTTAGTTATAACCTATGAGGAAGTCATGTGTATCTCGCACAATGGGCAATATTCCTTCATTCATTCTTGAATAACGGCTTTGATTAAAAGTTTCAAACATGTGTGGTAAGGTGAATATATTTTTTTAACATTCCATTTTGCTTGTATTATACGTTAACTACCCAGTGAATTTTGTTTTTATGTTTAAAGTGCGTCTCGTTCGCTTATTTGTTTCAGTGCAATAACTTGGACGCATAATGCGCGAGAGAAATAGAAATTATGCCAGACTGCCAAGTTAACACTGCTGCCCAATAGATGGCGCCAGCCAGTGTGTCCTCTCGTTGTAAAATATATTAAGAGGTTCCATGGCACCAGGTTCTAAGAGGTCGCAAGACTGTCAACGAACCTTTACGGCTGCCTCAAATCGTCTGGTCCCGGAACATACCCTACCGACAAAGCACTCAGGCGCGGGCTTTACGGGTTTGCTTTGAAAAGCCTGACAATGCCACGGCATACGCTGAGCTTCGAAGAAAGAAAGCCGTACTTTTCGCACGCAATGTGCGAAGAACCGAAAGCAATAGCTGTAGCGCGGTCGCGCAATGCGGGGTGAATGGTGCCGCCAGATATGTTAATCAAAATTGTCGCAAGCGCTTACCAACAACGGGTTTAAGAAAAAAAAATCATCTTACGCTCCGAGCGTCTGCTAGATCCTCATACGTTCGTTGTAAAAAACACATTCGTAATAATGACACCAAAAAATGAACTTTCGGAGGACTTTCCGACAACGTGCTGCGCTGAATTGTAACCGCAGGAGGCAGTCCTTCCTCCTTGGGTGCCATCGACGGCGTGAGTCAGCTGGGTGCTCTGACCAGACAGACAACTGCTCCGAGAAAGGAAGTCCTTATCAACATCGACCCGGAGGAAAATTGTTCCGCCATCATCGAAGGAAACTTCAAACTCGTGCTCGGTGTCGCCGAGCAAGGCCTGTACGAGAATTGGTATCCACTTTTGGGACACGTTGACTGGGAGTCGGACAAGCCCCGACAAGAATGCGAAAAATCAGTGGTCGCACGAGTTCTGGAGCATCACGGTGTAAGACCTGTTTGTGGGTCCAGGACTGGTGCCTACGCAACGCCTGTCCAATGTGGAGCTCGAGACCCTAGCAGAGAGTGCGTGCCGACAAAGTCGCTTTGCTTGTTTAACCTGTCTAAGGACCCCTGCGAGTACAACAACGTTGCTGACCAACATCCAGAGGTAACATTCTTTGCAACATGATTAGAACTGCACTGACCTCAGTCTTCCTCCCATTAAGATGTTGTTTAGGGAAATTCAAGAACATTCTAATCAAACTTGTTTTCTTTCTACCTCCTAAAATTGGTCAGCCATGACGCACCTATTTTAGTAGTTTTTTTTTTTGGATCGTTGCGGCAGAGCGTGCAATGCTGAAGAAGTCGTTTACTCATTTCATCAGAGAGGAACTATTCTTCCAAAGGACAAAACAACAAGTGTCAAACCCAACTTCTAGTTTATTTGAACAACGAACACTCTTGCATACTGCCAACGAGTTATTTTTTGCGTGCTGAATATTTGGCGATATAGGTCAACGCGAAAGGTTTTAAATAATTAGCGGGCTCTAATTTTTGCGACGCGGTGGGAACTCAATGTAGATTCAAATGTGTTTACATTTTACTGGAATTGTTCGCGGGATCTATTTTTCGCGAATTGTAGGCGAATCGCGAAATTCGCGAAAAGGAATTCGTTTACAGTTTGCCGCAAGACCCTCTCCACCAAAAAAACAAGAAAAACAGCTCCTTTGCACTAGGTCATCGAAAGCCGGAGACTCAGACAGATCCAAAATGATTCACGGGGATTCCTTACACATTAACCAGCTACCCTGATGACCTCTCTTCAAGGCTGACCAGCCACAAGCGATAACAGGCAACACTATAGCACAACCCTTACTATTCTTAACCCCCTCCCCCCCCCCCCCCCCAAAAAAAAAAAAGACAGCAACAACAAAAACAACAACAACCTTAGAGACATAAAAAACACTTCCTATCGCCGTCCAATACCAAGCACGGTGTGCTTACACAATTGCCAGAGGTTAAAATACACCTGGTCTGCCTCAGAACTCTTCTACCATTTTCTTTCCCTTTGTGCGAAACCTGGGTAGGAGGGTTCTGAGGGAAATTATGCGTATTTTGACCTCTGGCAAGTCTGTAAGCACACCGTCCTTGGCATTGGACAGTGATATGAAGCGTTTTTTTTTTTGTGTGTCTCTAAGGTGTTCAGGTTTTATTTTTAAAGAATAGCAATCTGCTAGTGTTGCCTGTTATGTCTTGTGGCTGCTCAGCCTTCAAACGAGGCCGTCAGGGTGGCTGATTGGTGTGTAAGAAGGGGGCCATCATGAATCAGCTTGGATCTGTTTTAGTGTCCGGCTTTTGGTGACCTAGTGGTGAGGAGCTGTTTCTTCATTGGCGGAGAAGGTGTTGCCGTATATATAAGAGCGTTCGTCATTCAAATAAACAATAACCTGTGTTTGAGACTTGCTGTTTTGTCCGTTTTTTTTTTATCGTTCCGTGTCTCCGGTTACTATTGAAGTTCTTCACCAGCTCGCCTGTTTTTTTACCCTTTCGTCGAGGAACTATTATTTTACATATTCTCAGAAGGCAATTAGAAGCACATATTTTAAACCGGTAATAAGAGAAGAACAAAAAGGGTAACGCCACAATAAGTCTCGAGTTTAAATATATGTAACTTGAACCAGCTATTTGGTAACTTCGTCAGAATTGTCATTCTGCAAAATTAATGTCATTTATTACGCACAATAATTATGTGATTAATGTTGTATGGCTAACCTATAATTACTAATTCTTTTCAGGTTGTGGAGCGACTCCTAGCAAAGCTGGCCACCTACAACGCGTCGTCTATTCCTCCTGCCAATGTTCCCCTCGATATGCGATCTAACCCTGCATTGCATGACAACGTGTGGGTTTCGTGGGGTGACCTTTATTTATGATGCAGGCATCAACCGTAGTTTCCTGTTTTGTATTTCTCTTTATGAACAAATATGACTGTAAAACTACTGTTTTGGTTAGCAAAAGGGAAAAATAAACATTAATTGATAGAGTGATTGATTGAGGCACTTCAAGATAAAGCTGCAAAATTTGTGACCCGCAACTTCCCCCTTACTTGCAGTGTGTCTAACATAAAACGTAACGCAACGTAAAACGTAAGACCAACAGAAAATTTTCTCTTGGTGTGCTTTTTTCCGGGTCTGTGAAAAACTTTGTGAGTTTTGTCCGGTGAGCTTTTGTCCGGGATTCGAATGAAACAGCTTGCCTAGAGAAATCGCGTTAATCACTTCACCTGATATGGTCATTACTTCTTTGAGTAATATGTATGAACTTAGCTTTATGAGCTTTGTGTTATGTTTTCATCCAGTGTTCCTGTTATTTATATTGTAGATTTCTTGTTTAACATTGTTTATGCCAACTATGTAAACGTGTCTTTTTATTTTTTGTTCAATTGACCCAATTGTATCACACTTTGTACCATGGCTTCCCCCCTATGTAATGCCCGTCATGGCCCTTTGGGGTAAATAAAGAAAAAAATTCCTTCGCGCCCTTATTTGCAGACACCGTGTAATATATCCGTATCATATGTGATTGGGAGTGCAGGTACGTTCAAAACAAAAGTTCAAGATAAGGATACCTTTGTTCATTTGCGCAGAATACAACTCTTCTAGAACTAGGGCTGAGTGTTCCTTGATGGCTCTCTTTGGTGTTTTATTAAACTTGACTCCATCTACGACGAATCTTGGTGCGTCAGGGGAAAGTATTGTTGCTTGTAGAAGGGTTTTGCTTGGCCATGTAATGGTTTAACCATAACGGCGTTGTTATACTATCTAGGAAAATTTCCTGGGCTGGGCACCAGGTTAGCTGGCAGTACTAAAAGGCGATGATGAAAGACAAATCGAAGACCTCACATACGCTGTGCTCTATTTCGTTACAACTTTCTATTTCTACTCTTATACATACATAATCCTTCAATGTCCAACAAACTAAATGTACAACCTATCCCTCTTCCCGAAGAGCGAATTGCGTGATTACGATATTAGCGAGTTTTAGAATAGGGGGCCCCAGAGCGTTGGGTGCCCCAAACAGCTTGGGGCGTCCAACTGCGGATGCGCAGAACTTCTGGGCATGCGCAGTTGGATGCCCCAAGCAGTTTGGGGCACCCAAAGCTCTGGGGCCCCCTATTCTAAAACTCGCTAATAAGCTTGGGGTGGATCTAGATGTGTATGCCTTCATCTTGTCTACTTGGACGATATCAGTGGGAATGGCTAGCGGGATTCGATGTTATAAAAACGGACGTTGGTGTTGGAATCACATAGTCGTAAGCAGGCTATAATTTTGTGACGGGCGGCAATCTGTGCGATTTACAAGAACAGTTTGCATGTGTGGGAATGTTAAGCACAGCAGTCCCACAGTCAATGAGGGCTCTGCGTGGCGATAAGAAAACCCGAACTAATATAAAATCGCGACTTCATTCTTTAACAACAATAAACGAAACGGTATGAACTTCGCTTAATTGAATTCGAGTTGTGCACAAGCAGCATTGCGAGAAAAGAACACGGTTTCTACTTCGCAATAGTCTTCCGCCGGGAATAGTGCCAACAAAAGGAAGTTCGCGCCTAACGGACTCCTTCATAACTCAGACTGCGGCCCCTGTGTCGATTAAAGCGGAGGAAGATTTTTGACGGACTGTGATGAAAACAATATTTTGGGAGATGGTGACGGAGGCCCACAGAAATAAGACGAAGCGGTTTGACCTACTAAAACCGCGGCGTCTAGTTTTCCATGTTAGGGTAGGACGTGGAAGGTTCGTACGAAGGCCTGAACGATGTGGACGAGCGTGGATAGGGCGATGGGTTTGGCCTGCTTGGGAACGGATTGTGAGAAGGGGAGCGAGGGCGAACAGGAAGACTCTGATTGGTGTACCTATCCTCATAGGGTCTTGAAGTGCACGTTGTCCTGGGGTTGTAATCAAACGGAGATGCGTAGAGGTACTCCCGGTTCGCTTGTTTCTCACTTTGATCGTGAATGCCACGGTGGAAGCAGGTGGGGCGACGTCGAATGACTGGAGATTACTGATCGGCAACGGGAGTTGGTCTCTGAGAGCTCTGATACGGTGGGCTTGAAAGGGGAGGCTGGTAAGAGATGCGTGGTGGTGATGGTGGTTGCAAGATCGTATTAACCCGTGAAAAAGAGGTTATGGCAATCGAAGAGATATTCGGAGTGGCTGCTGAAATCTCCTCTCGTATTTACGTCGCACAAGGATTGCCGGTGGGATCGTTGAAGAGGTTGAAGAGAAAGAACACGCTAAAAATAAATTATGAGATAACAATACTGCTAGGACCCAATGCATGTTGCTAACATCCTGATAAATTTGTATTGAAAATGGCGTGATATTTTCGTGGATAAATCAGTTTATATGCGGGACTCTCGGCGGGGCTGATCCGGGCGGAGCAGGAGGCTGGTGACGTAGTCAGCCTCTCGCGCGGCGTCGCCTTGCACGCACTCATAGACTTGGCTCCCTTGGCGTCTCAAGCTTCAGCTTCCTCGTTTACCTTCCGGGTTTCGAGAGTGCGGACCGTGAAAATAACATCTACTGCATCGCTCGCCTTGTCAAAGTGTTCGACATTGATCGCAGCAGCGATGAGCGTGGTAGCTATCAAGAGATGTTGGAAGCTGTCTGAGACCCGCTGGCGACCAGCTCCAGCAACGGTGAGTTACGGACGAACTCGCCGTGGTCACCGTCCTACGGGAATATCTCGCAGGCGCATGCAAGGTGGAAGGTCAACGGGCTGGGGGCGAGAGCGAGTATAGCGTTGGGGTTACCGAGTTGAGTGAGCGGTTTTGATCGTACCGCGGCGAGGAGAGCTTGGGCGATCATGCGGGCGCCTAAAATGAAAGAGCGTTCATGATCACGTAGTTTATGGACACCATGGTGTGACTAACTTGGGCAGTGTTGCCTGGTTGCTAATGAAAATAATAAAAATTCGTAAATGTATTATTGCAATTACCAGAGCTTTAAAAATCTTGTAACTTGGTGTACATACCAAATAGCCTATGAGCATTCCATTTCAAGAATAATCTATTTGTTTATGTTGTTTTCGTGCTCTAATCCCTTAAAAAGGATGCTGAACCAAAATATGTGTTCTACGAAACACAACGGCGAAAGCGTGCGACGGGATGCTCGTACGAACACCAAAACATCGCTCATACAACGATATCTCGAACGGATGGCCGTATTTCCTAAAAAAAGAAAGCTAATTTAAGAGATATTCCGACGTCTTGTAGAGTCGAGAAGGAGAGAGAACGGCCTCGGCAGCTTCTCCGCCCCGCCGCCTTCAGAGGACGAAGCGAAGAGAAGAGGAAACGAGATATGTTCACGTCACGCGCCTCGTCGGCCTCGTGCAATCTCGAACACTTTTTCCAAAAATACGGCCGTCCATTTGAGATATCGCCTTACGAATAGTGCTGTAGGGATTGTAGTGTCCCGCCTACAGCTCTTGCATTGTTTTCTGAAACCCAAATTTCAGTTCACCATCCCTTTAAAAGGATGCTGAACCGAAATCTGGATTCCACATAGCACGGCGGCAAAAGCGCGCAACGGGATGCTACGAATATCAGAACATCACTCATACAACGACATATCGAACGGATGACCGTATTTTTCAAAAAAAAGGACGCGCATTCGACAGCTATGTTTACGTCTTGTTTCTCCGAGAAGCGTCGAGAAGGAGAGGTAACGGCCTCGCGTCTTCTCCGCCTCCCCGCCTTGAGGGGGGGGGGGGGGGGGAGGGGATTGAAGAGAGGAGGAAGCAAGATATCTTGACGTCACGCGCCTCGTCGGCCTCGTTCAATCTCGACCTTTTTTTTTTTTTTTCCTAAAATAGGTAGTCCATTTGAGATACCGCCTTACGTGTAGTGTTGTAGGATAGTAGCGGTTCGCCTGCAGTTTCTGCATTGATTTCTGAAATCCAAATTCCGGTTCACTATCCATTTAAGAGCAGGAGAATTCTTAGGAAACAAAAGACGTAGATCTTAGCAAACGATGGGGGGGGGGGGGGGGGGGGTCTCTGATGAGGGTTTCGGCGTTTTATTTTTGCCCAGGAGAGCCGCAGTGATGGGAAACAGCAATGAAGGTGCCCTCAGAACAGCGGACGTTGGAATCGCTGCTGTCGTTGAAATGCGGGCGCGTTTGGCCCCGTTAAAGCGACGGATTGCATGTTATACTACTGACTGTCGTAGCGTTCCAGACCATTAGACATTTAAACCTGTCTTCTGATATGTCCTTTAATATACGCCCGAACTTGTACTTCGCCACTGTGGCATTGGCCAATTTGCGAGCTCCGGCACACCCTAACTGTAGGTGATGTGGTTTTCTTCGGGACCTTGCCCTCGGTATACGCGAGGCGACCTTCGGATACGCTTTGAGAAAGGCGTGCGCGCCTACTTACCCGCAAAACACTCAAAGAGCCAATCTCTGGGATATAGTTAATCAGCTCAGCGAATGGTGTTTAGACCTAAAATGAAGCCATCGCAGTGGCATTACGCATTCCAAACCGTCATGCTGGCATTGCATAATCCCACAGCGCAGGCTTAATTTTGATGTCTAAACAGCTAGATCTTCCGCCTCACTATTCGCTGAGCTGAGTTAGTAGATCACAGAGATTGGCTCTTTGAGTGTTTCTCGGGTAAGTAGATGAGCAGGTATCTCTTAGAGTGTGGTTGTTTGTTTTCCAAACACCAATTTCCAAACACCAAATTGCAAACACCTCAAGACATTTTTGCTAAAAGTGATCCCAAGAGGCGAAGGCATCTTCGTTGTTATTATACCAAGTCATTGCGGTGTCTTTGAGCTAAAGCATACCTGCCAAGTTTTACGACTTTATTGTAAAATGTCCGCTTTCCAGCGCTTTCTTACAGTTATCGTATTAACAACAATATC